TTACAAAAAAAAAAAAAAAAAAAAAAAAACAAACCTCTCCAAAGGAAAAAAAAAAAGAATCTGCTGAATCATTGTCACAGGACAAAGATATAATCTAGGATTTATGTATATAAATTATTACTGAAAAATTCTTTAACTCAAAATACTATATATTTTAAGTGTATAAAGATAGTACCAACGTGAAAGAGTAAATATGATCTGAGAAATCAAATATAATCTGCTCCTTGTTTTTTTTTTTATCAGTCATAAAAGTTTGTCAGCTTCCATATGCGAAATAGAAAAGGCATAAAATGTTATCTCTCCAATAAAAAGAAAAGAAATAAACTTTGGAAAATACGAACTATGGCATTCTTTACCTACAGGTCTGATAAAGTAGGAAACATTTTCAATAAAAGTAAGTTTTAGTTTTCCTGCAGGGCTTGCAGGAATGACAAGGCTGTGCTGTAAAATCTGTAAGCACAGTGGAGCCTTTCCTGTCAACGCCTGTGTCAAGTGTTAAACTGAGAATTGTGGGGCCAACAGGTGGCATGATCTAAAGTTGGTTGGGTCCCACATGGCTGACTACGATTCAGTCCTGGACCCCGTGGCTTGAAAATCATGCCAGGTGCAGGTGTGTGTGCCCAATGTCTCACGAGAAGAAGCAAGAGAAGGGTTTGTGGTATGGCCATCCTTTCTAGAGGATGACTTCTCACTTTTCTTCTCTATCTCTCTCTGGCAAGTGCACACACGCTTTGGCCAAAACCTAAAACAAACAAAACAACAACGAAACACACCAGGTGCATGAGCACACATGCCCAAACTCCCAGGAAGAAACATGAGAGGGAATTGCAGCTTGACGGTTTCTCTGAGCATCCTTTCCAGCTTTCCTGCTCTCTCTTTTGTTCACTCTCTCCTTTAGTGAGAGCATGCATCCTCCAGTCAAACAAACAAGTTGCTTGTGTGACTTTTGTCAAGCAGCTCTTCTCTTTCCGTACTGTGAAAAAGACGTGCTTACTCGTAGAAGATCAAAGCTGTTTCCAATGAAAGTAAATTTAGACGGTTGAGCAATTGGAGCAAAATGGTAGTAAACGAAAGCAGAGAGGTGACTGTGTTCATGGGAGCCTCTAACTAGAAAAAATTGCTATATTACACAATATGAATTCCCCATAGGTAATCAATACTCTGCAGAGAGATACTTCATTCACAGATACTAAATCCAAAGTACTCCTACAAAAAAACAAGCAAACAAGCAAACCCCCTGAAACATTAAATGCTTATCACGGGCCAGGAAGTGTTCTAAGCACTTTGCCTATAGTTAATTTAGTTATTTAAATGCAGACTACTGCTGTGTCATTTATACAGACAGTAACATAGAGGCATTGGCAGATTAAGTTACCTGTCCAAAGTCACAGTTTTCTATAAGAGGGCAGACCTAGAATTGCTAATCCCAGGTAGGTCTGGAACTTAGGCTCTTTTCTTCTCCTCCTCCTCCTCCTCCTCCTTCTTCTTCTTCTTTAGAGTTTTTTGCTATAGGGTGTGTGTGCTCACCAGAGAGACAGAGAGACACAAAGTGAGAAATCAACCCCCACACCCAAGGGGAATGGCCGTGCTGTAGTGCTTCCACCTCCATTCTCCTTTTGGGATTTGGGGCATGCATGCACATGCCTCAGGTGTGAGTTTTAAGCCACCGGGTCTGGGACTACGTGGGTGCCCAGAGACGTAACCATCACGCCATCTGCTTGTCCCTGTAAGGAGCAATTTTGAAGGCGTTTTATAAAATTGTTAATTTGGGTTTCTAATTTTATGTTCAAAAATCCAGAACAAATTAGCTTTTTTTTGCAGAGTTACTTTGATAGCGCTTTACACAGAGTGGTGCTTAATAAGTAAGTCACACACAGAACATGCATGGGGCTTCCGGTTCCAATCTGAAACTTGCTCGCCACACTAAATTTACTAAATGTGATAAGTTATGACTGGGAAAGACGCTTATATGTCCAACTTATTTATAAACTAAGAAGTGCAGACTAACACACTCACTACGACCGCTATTGTAAGTCATATCAAAACGTGTCACATGGGCCAGCAGGTGGCATGGTGGTTAAGGTGTTGGAATTCCCACGTGGCTGGCCATGGTTTCAGTCCCGGACCTGGCAGCTTGCTTTCTCACTCTCCCTCCCTGCCTTCCTCTGGCAAAACTCATGTGAAAAATAATATTAATAATATTAACAAATAATTCTTTACAAAAACGTGTCACAGATATTTAATCTTATCAAGTAAGCTTGATGTATATATATATAGTTTTTTGTTTTTAAAATTTATTATTCCATGATCCAGAGTGATAACGAGGCACCCCAACAGGGTCGCCACGTCATAACCCAGTCTCAGCCTCAGCCGACCACCGGCCAATGCGTATGCGCCCAGCAGGGAGATCCGGGACTCACACTGCAGACTCCCAGGGCTCCAGCCCCTCAGGACAATTATACTTTGCCCTCTGCCCCTGCCTAACCCCACAATCTATTTTTGAACCACAGGGAGTTAATTTTATTTATTTTTTTAATATATTTTAATGCCAGAGTATTTGTACACGAAGGACAGAGAGAGAGAGAGTGCAAGCGCCGTCCACTGGGGGTGGCCACCCTGTAATCCCGGCTCCTCCACTTCTCCATCCCTCCGGATCCTTGTGCTCAGTATATTGTCAGGCTGCAGGGTGGGAACTGGAATCATGACCAGCTGTGCAGATCTGGCTCTAATGCGCAGCAGTCAACCCCTGTTCCCCAAAGCCATCCCTAAGTAACACCTTTTATTGCTCCACAATTGTCATGGAAAAATCTTAGGAATTCTCCTTCATCTGAATAGGCCTAATATTTGTAGATAGAAAGTATATGGGGGCCAGCAGGTGGTCTGGGGGTTAAAGGCCTTGGATTCCCACATGGCCCACCCGGGTTAGAGTCCTGAGCCTGGCAGCTTGCTTTCTCACTTTCCCTGTCTCTCTTAAATTAAAAAATGATAATAACAAGTGGAATTAAATAAATATTTTTGAAAAAGAAAGTATAAATATTAATATATACAGATATGGAAAAACAGTAAAATCTTATTCACTGCATTTTAGTGGTAAAATGGTGTTTTCACGGTGCAATTATACGTTATTTTGACCCGTAAAGTTAGTGGTTAAGCGTTTCATTTTACTGAAACTCCAAAACATATTGCTCTGGATTATTTCAGGAGGCTAACTAGCTTGTGTAGAGAACATGTGTCCATTTGGAAATACGTATCGGGTCCCCTGTGTGTTCCCAAAATGCAATTTAATAGAATATTTGTCTTCAGAAAGTAATTCGTCACAAGACTGTTTATCAAAACATTGAATATGGCCAGCAGGTGCCTGGAAGTTAAGGTACCTCACCCCACACCCCGACTGCCTCAGTTCATATTACAGGCCTGCTCACTTGAAAACCACACTGGATACATGTATGTATATGCTGAAAATCCTGAGAGGAGAAGGGAGGAGAAAGGATTGTAACATGGCCATCTCTCCTGCGGGTGCTTTCTCACTTTCCCTCTCTCCCTATCACTCTCTGTCTCTCTCTAGCAAGTACACACACCCTATAACAAAAATTAATAAAAGGAAAAGAAATTGAACATGTTACTAACAGTAGATGTAGCTAAATATGATAGTTTTGTTAAGTCCAGTAGCTCTATCTTAGAATACAATGCAGTTATTAAATTATTTTTGTAGGACAATAGTAAAACATATGAAAACAGATTTACGTGTAGTATTACATTTAAAAGTAGTTTCTAGATTATATATAAAATATAATCTTTCTTTTATTGTACTAATATGATAATGGAAACAAAGAATCATATTAATATACATGCACCAAAATGTTAGATAGGATGGTGAGATTACTGTAACTTCTTTTTGAATTCTCTGCCCGGTTTCCTGCTCTCCCAGCTGAGTTAGGCCTGTGTACCCTGAGCGATGACTCTCTGCCGACTCAAACGGAACAAGGAAGATGGACCAACCTTTGTCCATGTGCTGGACGACACTGACTTCTGCTTTTACCATGTGTCGTTTCGGTCCTGATTATCATCATAAGAGCTAACATACTCAGCATGCTTCCTTTAGAAACTGTGTTAAATGTAGTCTCATTTTATTCTAACAATCCTACAGTGCATTTCATAATTTAGAGACTATTTCCTAACTGGAAAAGCCAAACTCAATGGCCAGGAAGATTCATGTGAACAGCCATTCAGAAAGCGTGACATAACCCTAGGATACATCTTCATGTGAGGTGGGAACGGGAGACTATACATTTCTCAGCAACGTACTTGGTGTGGTTCACACATTGTGTATTTAAAATATACTTGATTTAGGCTACATTCAATGTCGGAATAGAATGGAATGGAATAAATGGAGTGGAATGATTGGGAATAAAGTGGTGTACGCATTAAAGGATACAGGCTATAACTTAGTTCATTTTTACTTAAATACGCAGCTCAACTCCTGAAGTGGGAAACGAAGAATTGCATGGTTGACTCAATGACTGTGAGTGGTAGATGTCAAAGCCTCCCAGGAAAAGGAAACAGCAGTGGAATGAGATTTCAAGATGCTATGGAACACGTGAGCAACATGGAGGAGAGAATCCAACAGATTTCAGATATGCAAGCCAATCTCATAGATTCTGAGTGTTTTCAGAACTTCAGTGTGACCACCGATCAAAGATTCAGTAACGTTCTTCTCCAACTAAGCACCTTGGCTTCCTCAACCCAGGGACATGAAAATGCAGTAGAAGAGCTCTCCAGGTCCTTAGTCAGCTTGAACACCACGTTGCTTGATTTGCAGCTCAATATACAGACAATGAGTAGTAAACTTCAACAGGATACATTTAAGCAACGAGAGGTAAGAATTTTTGTGTTTAGAAAGTCCTACACTAGGATTGAATCCATCCAGGGAACCAGCAGTTAGCGTAATGGCTATGTCGCTGGACTCCCACGTAGTCGACCGCGGTTCGCGTCCCGGACCTGGTGGCTTAAAACTCACGCCAGGCACGTGTGCGTGTGTGCCCAAGATCCTGAGAGGAGAGTGGAGGAGAAGGGGTTGCAGCATGACCATCCCCCCTGGGGGGTGATTTCTCGCTTTCTGTCTCTATGTCTCTCTCTCTGCCTGTCTGGTGAGCGTACGCGCCCTATAGCAAAAACCTCTCAAAAAAAAAAAAAAAAAAAAAAAAGATTAACTCCATACCAA